GCTATCCGAATATATCCTTACTTTTTCAAAAAGGTTAATTTATAGTAATAATTTATTGAAAATACTTTGTCGAACTATTTTTGTCCAGGGGGATATATATATGGTAAATATTTAGAAAGAGTTAATGTAAGGAATGATCGCTGAAACGAAACTCACGAACATAGATGATCGAAAGACATTCGTCGATGAAGTACACAATCTTTTCGTTAAATAGAAAGCGGAATTAAGAGGCGCATCTGCAAAAAGAAAATACTCGGGCTCTATGAGATGTATTATGACCAAGAGAAATGATACTAAGGAAGATCATTTTTAATCTTTGAGATCTTCTACAGGGAAGCATTCAGGAAGTTCGAGTCGATGAAAACTTTTATTTTACTAGTTGAGATCTATCTATCCGTCTTGAAACTTTTAGATTTTTCTAATAAGTCATTTTTCAGAAATTCCCAAAAGGGAATGGCCTTAAGTTCAAACTAAATATATGCAGATAATTTAATTTCATAATGAAGAACATTCTATTTTCAAAGACATTGTTATGCTTGAATGCTGACAAATAGTATGATCCGCAGATATTAATTGAAATAAAATATAATAAAAAGTTCTCATGTTCTGCTACGAGGCAATAAAATCTACTTTGTTTTGCCGACACTATTAAAATAAACATAATCAACGTTGCATGACTTTTTTTGAAAAGTTTGATGTAATTTTGTCATGCGTATATAGTAAAAAAATAGAATTTTTCATTTGATGACTAATAATAAAAAGAAAATAGCACGAAGACATGAAAAATTATAATTGTCATTATGTTAAAAGAACATCTGCTGGATTAATTTATATGCTACGATTAGAAACAGAAGTCAAAAAATATTCAAAAATATTTTGTAAATGTTTATAGGAATATTTTTTAAGAAAAGAAAAACAAGAAAAAATTATCTCACAGTATGTTTTGAAAATAAGATAAATAATATACGTTATACTTTCGCATAAGTCTGAGTAACAAAGAGAAGATCTTTAATAACATATATAAACTTGAAAGTGTTAATTGAGTCTGTCAAGTGACTTTTGCATAGCTACATTCATCTTTTGAAATAATAATAAAATAAACATAAGAAGTGTGATTGTAAATTCTTGCGAATATTTTTACCAACTATTGTTACCATAATGAGCAACATATGTATTGAAGAAATGATTTAAGAAAAAGACAAATTACATATAATTAATTATAAGAACCCTAGTTTATCGAATTTCTAGTTCGTATTGTTAGAAACCTGAAAGATCTTACAAATCGATTTTGAAAATTCGATAGTGACATTTAGCATGACTATTTTAATATAAATAAGAAATGACCTTAGGCAATAAAATATCATTTGAAATAATGACATGTTCACGTGAAGTTTAAAAAGATATATTTATTTAAGCATTAGTCTTTCTCTGTATATAAAATTAACTTTTGTTAGATTCTAAATCTGATAAAAATTATTCATCAGTAGAGCCCGTCGGGTTGATCACGGATCCGGACAGACCTGGTTCGAGTAGAGATGGCTGTCTTATTCCGATTAGAAAATTTCATTGATACCATCAGATTACAGTTCGGTCGGGTTCAGGTTCGATTCTGGGTCTCAAAAGTATTCAATAAATTGGATCGAGTTCGAAAATGTTGAACCTAACGGATTCTATTATTCAGATACTTTTCAAAGGAAAAATAATTATTATTACAGAAAAAAAAAATATCGTCTCTATAAACTGATCGATATTTTTTGAGGACAAATATTAAGTCTCCTCTCAAAAAGAAAGTCTATTTTCGTCAGAAAAATTGAAATTGAGATGATGATCCGAGGTCTAATCTTTCATAAATAATATGATTTTGATGATTCTCATTCCCTTCCGCTTAAAAAATAAGGTTTTGTTTTTCGCTTTTTCTCTGTTTATACTTTTCTGATCACGCATCTCAGGTTTCTCAAAGATGTTTCATTGTAATCAATTGCTCTTTTCTTTTGTTCGAAAGAGTATATAAAGTTGCAGGATTTAGTATAAGTTGTTTTTGAACTAAACTCTTTTGTTCGTATTTAAAAGTAAGTAGTTCTATAAATAGATGATCATTTTTCAATATGCTGAGCTTATCATACTTTTTCTTTGCGTAAAAAATAAGAATTAACAAGCAAAAAGAACAATGCAGTCTGACATGTTTTTTGACATGAAAACAAACTGTTATCGTAATTTCTACACGTTAGAATGTCAAACATGATTTAGTTGCTCTTCCTCATTATAAAAACATTGTTTGATTCGATCTATTTTGGAACTTGTTTCTTCACCAGCCTTTGATTAAATGCTCAAGACATGCAACAAGAAAGTAATTCATAAATTATAACGAAACATTATTGATATATAATCTCTTATCGTATATCAACAAGGACTTTCACGGTCTGTGAGGGACTCCTGTTAAATCTTGCTTCACAAAAGAATTAAATCTATAGAACGAAAGTCTACAAGAAATTTTGAGTTACTGAAAATTTTAACATTTGTTTTTACTAATTAAACAAAAAGATTCTTTTGTTCTCATACCGTTTCACAATTAAGACACTTTGTTGTAGATACAAGTGTTCCTTGAAATAGTTCATGTATCCAAGTATCTTCTATTGATGAATTAGCATTAGCCATATCACCATTAACATTCAAATTATTTGGTATTCGAATATGTTGTCCATCACCATTAGATTGTATATAATTATTACTAACAGCAACAATATTTGTTTTATTTCTTTGTTTATCATGTTTATCTTTTTCTTCTTTTTTTTCCGCTATTATTAATAAATATTAAAAAAAAAAAAAAAAATTCAAATTTACAAACCAAGTAGAATATCAGCACATGTATTTAATAAATGATTAAGAAATTCATGTGCATCTTGTTGCATATCATTATCAAATGTGCCTTTAATAATAATCAAAAAAAAAAAATAACTTAATCTTTAAAAGAAAAATTAAAAGTTTACTATTTTCTTTTCGTAGTTTATTAATAAATTTTTTTGGTTGTAATGCACCTGTTCTTCTTTTACCAGACACAATCATATGAAATAAATCTGCTAAACATGTTAATAAATTTTCTTTTTTACTCTTTTGTGTTGAACGATAATTTAAAACACGTTCTCGAAATGGTTTACAAAAATAAAGAGCTTGAAGCACCGAATTACAATAGCACGTATTACCAAACTAAAATGAAATGAATTAAATCAAAATAAAAAAAAGAAAATTATTTTCTATTCATACATTCACAAGACCAAGATAATGTTCATTTGAATTTTGTTCAACTATTGTATGGCCAGTAGTATCAGATGAAACTCCATGACCCTAACAAGAATTTTTATTTTAACAAAAAAAAAAAAAAAAACAAGAAATATACCATTTTAAAACAAAACATTTGGTTCATTCAAGTAAGATTTTTTTGCAGCATATAATATCTTAAAAATAAAAATAATTTATCGTTTTATTCTTTTTTTTTTATTTTGTTTTTGACTAAAGATATTTATTGATATTTACATTCATAGATGAAAATTTTTACTAATTGTTGTCTGTAAAAGAGAAATTAAATTACGATGATAAAATTGTTAGTTGAGATTCCGATCTGAAACTATTAAATATAATAAATTATACATAATCTAGAATCAAAATTAATTTATATATAACATCTATATTATCAATAATTTATTAATCTGTCCAAAAAATGTAGAGAAAATCATTAAAACTTTCCCAAAAGAAAAACAACAACAGCAGCATAGACTATAGTTTCGATGTTATTTTGACTTGTAAGTGTTCTTATGATCGATTTCTCCAAGAAAATCGATGTCATCATTTAGAAGGATAGATGTATCTTATAGTACGAGATTATTTTTTGTAAAAAGAAAATTTTCGAAAGTTGAAATCAATATTTGCTTTCTTAATATCATTGAAATGCTTTATTCAAAATAATATTCTTCAATTCGTTTGACAAGGTCTTAGCTATTTCTCGAATATTTCTTTGAATTGTTTCATGTGAAAAATGGTTCCGATTAATTATAAACAATTACCTTTACTTTCAATAGTAACTATTACTTCCGTTTCGTGTAATATGAATAGAATCGAATGCTCTATACTTTCATGAAATAAGGATATATTTTGCCTACACATGAATAATTTAACAGGAAAACCACTGACTTTTAAAAGTAATGATAACTGCTCACACGTATTTAATTTGTGAAGAAAAACCTATACTCGCATGTGAGTGCAGTGAATCTTGATCAGGCAAATTGCATAAACATAAACACTTATGCATTTCATTTCATTGAATACCCATATCATACGTTTATGTGCATTATCATTAAGATACCGACAATAGAGTACCGGTGAGAGGATAGTTGAGTCCGTCGGATTCGAATCCATAAATTTCGAACCTGATAGGCTATAGAGAATAGCCACCAATCGTTAAAATATCAAACTGACACAGATTGATTACCGGTATTGCGCAGATTATATCGAACAATGCACTTTTTGTCAGATTCGAATCACATGGGTAATCAATACGTAATGTTTATAAATTAGGACGTGAATTCGCATCGTTCGCACTCAGACCATTCAGTTAATAAGTTTAACTATATTCGTGCTATATTAACACATTCAGTCTTAAACTAAAAAATTTAAATATATAAAATGCTGTTTTTGTAGTCGAATCGAGATAAACAAATTTCAAATTATTTACAATATATGTACAATGAGTGACACATAAGAAATGGGACAAAATATTTTCCTCTTCTTACGATACTTTCCAACACAGTAGAGACTTCGTTTTAGACTTATCAGATAGAAGATATCTTACTCTACAAAGCTACTATCCTTGCTTTTCAAATAACTTTTCTTTTTGTTTGCAGCACAAAATTTAAAAAGATAAACATCTACTCAATCGTGTTACTGCGATGGTCAAAAAAGGAAAAATTTTTCATGAAGGATTCACTGAAATTTCAAATATGCTTCAAAGTTCTCTTCTAAATTTAGTATCTTTTAATACATGTGAGAAACATTTTTGAAGCAAAAACTGTGGAGAAACCGGAAAAAAAACTTTTTTTGCTGAAGAATTACATCTTTGTTCTTTTCCTTCTGTTTCTAATTTTCAATTTAACAATCATACCATTATGCGTAGTATTATATTCTACACCTGACGCCATGAGAATAAATTTGTCATAGACGAAATCTCACTGTAAAAAACATGGTTTTCCAATATATGTCTCAAAATATCACTAGCTTTTTTCTTCTGAATAACAACAACAAAAACGCTGAAAAGGTCGTGGAAATAAAGAGCATGAAATTCTCTATTTGCCAATGCTAAATACATTATCTGTACATCAGTCCTGACACAAATCGACAGACGCTTGAAGACAATGAGGCATTGCAGTTAGATAATTGCGTACATATTGTTCATCTTTTTAATTTTGTATAGAAAGAAATTTTCTATCGAATAAGTCTAAAATAAAGTCTCTAGCGTGTTGTAAAGTATCTTAAAAAGAGGAAAAAAATTTGTTCTATTTATTATATATCACCTGTCAAAAACTAGAGGACTATTATATTGATTATTTTCTTATATTGAAATGAACTTTTCAGATAGTTATTATTCGAAATCTCCGTTAGTTTCAAATAGATGCGGTTAGTGCTTAAATCGAATTGCCGGATCTGAGAGAACCTGGTATTTTTTTTTGTTCTTAAAACTTGTTATTCGGAGGAAAACGATGGAAACTCAATAATTCTAGAATATCTGAAATAATGATGATCTGTTTATTATTTTTCTGTTATGTCTAATAAACACAAAGCTTTATTAAAAATACCTACTCTGCCAGATTCTAAAGTTTAGCATCTTCTTTCAAATAAAAGACTAATTGCATGACGACAATGAATCACTTATGAAAATTCTTTGAGTATGTGTCCACAAAAAAAATATAAACACGTCAGACTATGCTTCCATATATTCATTTTAATTCAAGCATTTCTAATATCTCTATTGATAAGTATAAAGATAAATCTAGAATAAGAAACACATCTTGTTTCTCACTTAATCTTTTTTGTGTATCTTTATCTTGATTAGTAGAGCGCGATATCTGTAAATCTGATATTAATTTTTACTAGGCGCATTTCATTGATGATTTTATGTTTTCACAGACACCTGTAATAACTATCAAAAGACAGTAATTAGTCATGATTAATATATAAGTCTAACATATCGGTCTGATGTCTTTGAAAAACCTAAGAAACCGCCTGTTTCCTATGATAGAGTCAATGGTCCTGTGTTTTCTCCTAGATGGAATTAGGGTAGACTTTTCAACTGAGTTATATTCAAGGGAGTCGTACTTTTGAGCTTTAAATCTAAATATTAGTTTTTTTCCTTCTTAATTGGATTTAGCGTACTGCATTATTTATTGTTCTAGATTTTCTCGTGTGGTACTAAACATCTAAAATGTCTGTTTGAATTGCAAGTCTTATCTTGAGAACAGTAAATCTATTCCATACGGTATATAAATTAAATAGAGAAAAAAGAATAATTGATTTTTCTGAGTTTTATAAAATTAATAAATATTTTGTTTTTGTTTTTTTACATACCAAAATAAAATTAAACTAAACTAAAAAATAAATAAATGATTATTTTGCATTATTAAATTTTAATTACGACTTTACAATTGAATTTGTTGAACAATATCGAAATAAATTTTTCAAATAATTGAAAATCAATATTTCGAAATTAATTTAAAATAATTACAAATAAATGTTATATAATAATCTAAAACTGTAAAATAGATTATACAATATAAATATTTATTATTAATTATTTAATTATATGAAATAAATATCAAGAACAAAATATGTATACAAATATGAAGACACAAAAAACAATTGAATTAAGCATTTTCACTTTGAGATGATTCACTTATTGGATTTTCTTCTAAAAATCGAATATTTCCTATAGAAAACAAAAAAACAACAACAACAAGTAAATTTAAATTATAATCAAAAATATTTTACCTTTATGATGAGTAGTTTTTAATGAAAGTAAATCAGATTTTATTTTTAATTTCGCTATTTCAATACGGAATTGTGCTCTAAAACAGTAATTCAAATAGAACAACCAAATATTCATTATTATTTTTTTTTTTACCGATCTTGTGAATCATTTATACCCATTTCAAGTAGAAGATTATCATTTAACATAAATAAAGTTCGCCCTACAAATAGAAAGATTCTATCAAAATGAAAAAATCATTTAAATGTCAGAATTTTTTTTTTTTGAATTAACAGTATGTCACACGTTTACGCCAACAGTGCAAGTACTATTTTAATACTGTATGCTGTTCATTGACGTAGGAACTTTGTTATATACCCCTTCCGGTTTCAATGGTTTTTTTCTGCCTACAGATATGATATAGTATTCTAAGAGAAATTTAGTTGCCTATTAATATTTGACTAAGCTTTCGAGTTGTTTCCTACACGTGGCAGATTTTCGAAAAACTTGTATGTTTGAATTTTGATCTGAGACTTTTTGTGTATATAGAGCACTCAACTAGACTCATTTCCATGAAAACAAACTTATAAGTTTTGAATAAAGTCTCTACGAGAAATGAAGCTTTGAAAAAATGCATGTTGTATTTATGGAAAATGATTAATATCTTAAAAGTCTCATATCCTGAAGCGACGTTGTTCAAAATTTCGCAATTCTTTTTATGGAAGCTAGTTTAGTTAAATCCTCTATATTTTCAAATTTTCAAATCAAATTTCAGAAAGATGAGTTTTCCGAAAATCTGTTAGCTCGAGAACAAAATTCGATAGCTTAGTCAAATATCAATAGAAATTCAAATCCTTTTTAGAACACAATGTAGTATCTATGGGCAAAAACAAACATTGTAATCGGAAGAGAATAATTAATGGAGTTCTCTCGTAAGTTTTCACAAGATTTTTTCTTCCAGTACTTTATTCAAGGTGAAACTTATTATATCTTGCTCACAAAAATATTTATCCAGGAAACGCTTTTTTTTTTTTGTCTTTATTCATTATTCTGCTTATTTGCATCTTTTGAGTAAGTATCAACATAAAAAAAGATCACTTCATACTTTAATGAATACTTATAGTTCTTAAGAAACATGCGATCATTAAAAAATGAATGATTTTATTATCCTTTGAAATGATGAATTACAGGATATGATATTTTTAGTACGAAAATTCAGTGCATTTTTTAACAATCTAAACCAAATTTCATAAGTAGGAGAATCATTTTTTTCTTGCTAATAATGATGAAATGCTTTCTCATTTAATTCTGATGAATTATGGGTCGTCAGTCATGCTGATTCTGAATATGATTATATTTAGAATTAGCATGATTGATAAGCCATAATT